GACTATTGATCTCGTCGGTGAGGTGAGCCATGTGTAGGGCCATTTCGGAGAGCTGTTGGGCAGTACGCATCTTAGTGGTATCCAACTCCTCCTCCAGAGCGCGGGACTTTTGTTCGGCCGCCTCCGTGGCTAACCGCTGCGCCTCCAGTTGATCACGGGTGGCAGTCAGGTGCTCGTATAAATTCCTCACCTGGGGTAAACAGACAGCATTCACTGAACATTGAGCAAAATGCCAATGGGAAAGTGATAAAAGAGGGAGGGGGCAGGGAATGCTCGTTGAGCGGTAGAAAGAGTTGACAAGGACGGAGTGTACGACGACACTAGTCGATGGGTTAACCTGCATTACGGAATGGTGGTAGTAGGATCTTTATGGGTGGGGCAGCGTGACACAGAGTTGACCGCCGCAACACGTGAGTAGTTAAAAATAAAGTTTGCCCTTCTGGTGTAATCATTCAAATAAGCTCGTTTTGTACCTTGCGATAGGGCGGGCAAACGAAAAAATCGTTTACGTCAATTAACCGCGGGTAGTGGACTTTACCGCTACTGGCAGATTTTGAAGTTCAAAATTCGTAAACGTTTCATTATGTTCGCGGCTTGCGTTCATATCGCACATCACAAGCCCTAATTTGGCGATTCATAGATGCCTGCATTCTCCCCTTCATTTTTTTGCTGCTCTGCAGTTTTTTTCAGCTGGTCACTTTTAAGCGTATCCTCCGAATGCTCCCTTCAGCTGCCAGCGTTTCCTGTGTTTGCTAGCTGTCATTATAATACAGCGACACTCTGCTCTTAGCAAGGGCGTATCATGGTTGCATCTCCGGTTCTTAAGGACGTTCTCCTGACTCTGAGGTCTCCTCTTTGTGTGGCCCTTCGGATGTAGATATTACTCGTCATGGACCCCATGGCTGCCGCCAACATTCACAGCAGCATGCTGGTCCCATCTTTTACGTACTTCTTCCGACGAGCGACAGTTTTTCTCCTAAAAACCACAAATTAGATTCCATTTTGAATTATGAGCCATGCCTTAGGAGTTTTTTCGGTCTGCTCTTCTTGCTCAGCTACACTGCCGGCTCGTGTCAACTGACATCGCCATATGTGAGTGCATTACTTGAAACAAGCGAG